CTCCTGCATAACAGTTTGGAGAATGTTTCAGTTGGTTAAATACACAGACAGAAGCCACTGCTGGCAGTGTGAATGAGGCCAGAACTGCTATTAGGAGACATAGTTGTTGCCTCTGCTTCCATATCCATAGCACTTTCTGCCAAAGTGTGATGGAAGGGATGATAAACGTGTTGTTGCACAAACCTGTCAGCAATGAAGGCTTGTTTAGGTGCCCCTTCTGTCTTTACAACTCAGTGATACAATAAAAAAACAGTTGTAACTATTTGGCAGTCTAGCATCATGCAGGCCTTGCAGAATATACAGTTTCTATACAGCAGCAGAGTTTACAGTATCAGCAATATCAAATTTTCAGGTTTCAGCTGTAGCTGATGTATGTGAATTGATTTTATGTATTGGCAGCTCAAAATGCAGCAGGGAGAAAGCGGGTCCTGAAAGTGGCAGTACTGGTGCTTACTTCAGGCACCACAACATGTTTCACTGGCAAGAAGGGGCTCCAAGTTCATCATGTGCCAGGGGAGAGTCTGGCTGTTCTAGCCTTCTGCTGGCTCCTTACCAAATTCCTCTACATAGTCACAATACTTTGTTTCCCCGTGTAATCATTATAAAAAGAAAGTCAACCACTGCTACGTCCTCTGTTGTCTTCATTCATTTTATTTCACTTATTCCTTCAAATTCATTTTCTGGAGCCTAAAAGCTATACTCCCAAAGAGAGAGGCAGCAGTTTGAAACAGGTCCAGTCAGAGAAGCAACCTCCCCAGGAGCTGATATTATATGATTGATCTGCCTATAAAAGCCAAATCAGAGAATGAAATCTGCTCCAAAGGGAATTCTGTGGTGACAAGGCTGACCTCTGAAGTATCGCCAGAATCCTGTCTGCCTCTTAAATAGTCACAAGGAGATCTGAATATTCACTGATGCATCACTCAGTAACTGGATGTACTATAGTGCAAGCATTGCAAAAGAAGGCAGTTCTAGGAAGGAACTTGGAAATTTTTACTGGCTTTTGGTTTGGATCACTTCCCACTTGCAGGACAAAATGTTTTATTGGAGAGATGGATATCTGATGTTTGACATGGATGTGATTGGCATAGCCAAACCAGAAACTGGGATCACCTTGAGATAAAATAGAGAACGTAAGGTCAGGATAGCTCAAACGGCTATGAAAATAAAGACAGAAGGGTTGGGTATGATGCCATAAGGAAAATGAACGTGTATAAAAATCTGTGTTACAGAACCCCTGCTGTGATCTTTTCTGCTGTTGATGATAACTTCGGCATCTTTGTTCCCCTCAAATTCAAAACTGATACCTCTCCCAAACATGCATTGTTGCTGCTCGGATACTTTGGCTCATAAAAGATACTCAGCAAATTATGAAATCTTTAATCTGGATAAAGAGGATTGGTCGTTGGTGGGCTTACTCTATTAAGAAGAACTTTTTGCCAACTTCTCCGCTCCCCTGTCCCCCAAATCCTTGCGCTTGGTGTCTTGATGTTTGTTTTACACTGCAAGTCTTTGAAAGGAGTCTTGAAATGCAGAAGTTACTTGGAAAGATTAAAATGTGTCTTTATAACAACTTTTCACTGAAGGGCTTGATCATGATAAAAATGACTCTTCAGTTTATTATGACAGGGAAGGTTGTGTGGTAGCTATACAAAGATTGAAAACAAGTAACTTATTTATAGCTTTGGCTGCTGACTGGTGGGGCCTGAAGCTGCTGTGTTGCCTGGCAGGGGCCTGTCTGTTGCTCTGCTTTAATACCCAACGTTTTTCCTCTCTGTCTTGACATCTAGGTATTTGTATCTGCTCTTCTCCAATGATGACCTGCTACCATTAGACAACTGGGTTTTTAACACAGAAGCTCATCCTCTGCCTGTTTTACATTTAGCCAACACCACGCTGTCAGGAAATCCTGCATATCGATAAAAACAGCTCTGTGAAGAGAAATAGAGACTGTTTTCAGCTCTGTTTTGTTTACATGGACCACTTGAGACTTTTAGCAGGAGAGGAGACAGACACTTGATAAAACTAGACCTCTGAGTCAAGCAAGTACCGGCGTGAGAATCAAAGCTCTTCAACATATAGATAAGTTAAAAGTTCTGTTTTATACATGACCAAAACACGTTAGTGTGGTATTTGCAGGACAGAGACTTCATGTGCTTTGAACCCTAGCAAGACATGGAATCTACTGTTTAATGTAAATGCAGCAGTATAAGGAAGAAGAGGCTTTCCCGTCCAGGGAGAGGAACTTGCTGCTGCTGTTGGCTGTTGCAAGGAACAACACACCAGTCACCTCTTCAGATCGGGTGGGTTCCAAATACCTAGGATTTATTTTTCTTTTTTTTTGTGTTTGATGATGGCATGAACAAAGCAACAACAAAAAGCAGCATCACTGCACCAGCAGCATCAGGATTTGAATTTTTTTTCTGTACCTGTCTGAATTTTCTAAGGAGCATCTGTTTGTCCAGACTGGCAGCCATTCTCAGGGCCTCTAAGCTATTGAAACTAAACTCTAAACTGTAAAAACTATTGCCTCCTCATTTTCCCTTTTCGAAGTAATGTTGAAAGATCTGTGTTATATGCTTACATCCAAAAAAACAATTGGTAAGCATTTGGTTTGTAGTTCACTGTCAGCAACGTGGGCTTAGCTCATTTGGAAGCTACAGTCACAGAGTCTAGAGCATATCACAGGGGTAGGAAGGAGCCTAAGTTTCCCTTCCTCACAAATCCTGTCACATGATAAAAAACATTCTCTTATTAGTCCTGATTCTTTTAGCTAAATAAACAGAGATGACAACATGAGAAAAAAAGTAATGATTTATATAACAGGATACAGTATATGGCATTTAAAAATGCTCCACTTGGGCTAAGCAGCAGGAGTTTGTTGCTTTATATTTTTCCACACAATCGGGATTTTTCCTAAAAGTTAAATTTCATTCTTTGGATACTATTCGTGGAACCTTCTTTGCAGGTGTGTGTATGACAGAAGCCCAAAGATGCCTTTGATTTAGGTTACAAAATTCCTTTTCTTCTCGGTGCTCCAGTACAAAGCCAACATGATCTTCTTTGGGAACAACATAACTTCTCTTACATGTGAGTGGAAAAAGAAACTGAAGAGTCTCTTCTTCCATTAGTTTATGAGAAATGAGATGCTGTTACCTGCATGGTGGTGGTGGTGGTGGTGGGGTTCCCAAGTACTCCTAGGCTGGGCTGGACATTATCACTTAAATGGAGTCTGCTTCAGTCTTCACTTATTTGCTAAAAGAAGTTTTGTCTTTTCAAGTATATCTCAATCTCTTTTTTTTTTTTTTTCTTACCATTGTTCCAGAATCCTTACAGCTCAAATTATTCTTTTTTTTTTCCCCTTTATAGCTCCCAAATCCTTTTGCCACGGTGACTGGCCCCTTTGCTGAAAAAGACCTGTGAGGTGCTCCTTTCTCTCCTAATTAGTGCACAGTTGAGTCTTTAAAAAAGAAATCTTGATTGTGTTTTCAGACTAAAATGAGTGGAAGAACTCTACAGTGAGGTAGAGCAGTACAGCATCAGATATAAAGGCAGTGAGCGCTATTTCTCCCTGTAAAAAAAAAAAGTTTATATATGAAGATAAAGCTTTTCTCTCCATCACATTATATCTGACTGTACGTTATAGTAGAATTTCCCACATAAAACTTTTCTTCACTTGTCTTTGACACTAACTTAGACACAGCATTTTTTCTTAGATCATGTGATGATTTCTATCAGATGCTTTTTTCCAGACAGTTACTTTAATTTAAGAGGAGGAAGACATAGAGCTTGGAAAAAAGCTCCAGTCTCAATGTTTTTACCTTAGTACCAGTTACTTAGTTACTGTAATTTGCAGCAGTAGCTTAAAAATAATTTGAGAACTGACAAAGTAATTGATATAGTAAATAATACTGATGCAAGTAATTGTTTATTTAAAATTAGAAGTAGCTTAATAAACTGATTCTTCTTGCTGGTCTCACATTAAAATATTTTTCTAATTAGTATTCAGTGACTTACTGAAGAGCTAGTAACTTTCTATTTTCCAAAGTTCAGATATGTTGTGTTTTCAAATGGAGTTTTTTTCCATCCCATGAGAACTGTTAGTAGTTTAAAACTGCACTCTATTGCCTTGTTCTCCTGGGTACAAAGGAGAAAGAGGAAAAGCAGACTCTTCAGTTTAATAATAAAAAAAGGCACTTTCCACCCCATTACACCCATCCCCATACACCTCCTGATAAACGCAGATGTAGAGTGGCTGCCAGTCTGTTCAGAGAAAGGCCAAGGACAGAAATCTGGAGTCCCAGAAAGAGCAAACTTCTTATCATTGTTTGCTGCTCTTCCACCCCCCTCTAGTGAATTAAAGAGCGACCCTTCAGATTAATTCCTCCATGAAGCCCAATGGGTTAACTCACTGCCACAAGAATGCTTGAATTGAGGACCTAAGCCATTTCATGTTATGGGATGGTATTTTTCTCAAAGCAGATATACAGTACTGCTATTTCTTCTTTGTGTAGACAAGCAGCAGGTACCAAATAAAGGACACTTGTTTCTCGTTTTCCAGTTACCCCAACAGCTGTCAGTTTCTACTCTATCACTCTTGAAATACAAACTATCCTTTTCCTCCAGAAGCTACTGATGTAAAAATAATGCATTTTGTGGACTAACTGCTGTGTCATTCATGAATCTCTCCATCCTGAGATTTCCTAGAGCAAGCTGAGTTTGGAGGTAATGGGTTCTGAGCGAGGTGGGTACATAATAACCAAGCACCATGGATATTGAAACTTCTGACTGAAGTGGTGTGCCCTTGTACTGAGTCCTTCACAGAGAAGTAGGTTCTGATCGGCAGAACGGCGTTATGTGCAACCCAAAGTTCAGACTGTTTTCCCTCTGGGTCTATAAGGTACAGTAGAATATTGCCATTTTCATTCTGTTGCTGCTGTCTTACATACTTTCATGAAGATAGAGTGTAAATTTAAGCACAAAATGACTTTTTAGTCCTAGTTGTTTCGGAGTCTTGCACTGTATTCTCTAACAAAAAAATCCTCGTTTTCTTTAGGTAGCTGTCCCATTTTAGCAATTTCTACAATACCCTCTCCTCTTACAGGATGAAATAAAGAACAGAAAATCATGTACATTTTTGGCACACTGGATTTGGGCAAGAGCCTGGAAATCCCAGAACTGTCTATTTCCTGTTTGCTTTCTTGCCTGTTGGTCAGGATCTGCTAGCAGTACATTTTTTTTCCTAACACTTTCAGCTTGACTTTTCAAAGAAGCCAGATTTCTGCAGCTTCTGTTGACCACCCTGGAGCTGTGTGTGTCCTGCAGTCAAGAAGTCAACTTCTTAGCTTTGTCCTCTAAATAAAAACAAAGCCTTTGAATGATATTCTGGGTGTTCATTTTGCTGCACGATATGGTCCTTAAAACTGAATACTTGAGAAAAGTATGGAAAATAGTAAGTACACTTGAGTAAAGGGAAAAGCAGGTAGTTCCCTGTGCCAGTCATACCTTTGAGGCTCCCTACTCCAAATTTGTGAATCACACTGTCTTCTGCCTCCCAATCAGTGACATACTCCCACCCTGTACTTTACAAGATTTGAATGTTGAGTATCCAGGTTCTGAAAACTGAAAATAATTACGCACTCCCTGTAATACCATCATCGAAGGTTAAAGGGTCTACCCTGTGCTGACTTACGGCTAAGCAAAGCCCTATCGGGCTGTCTTTTATGATCCCCTCTTCTATCCCTCAGGAAAAACTACGAACCTTCATAATGTGACCTAGTTTGAATGAAGAAGTAGTTAACAGCGTTAACATTGAAAGGATCATCAGTGTAACCTGGCATCCACAGAAAATGGTGAGGCAGTTTACATCTCAGGGTTGTAGTAACAGGCTTTTAGCAAATTGAGCCTGTTACGTACATTAATAAGTCTAGTCCATGTTTTTAAGAGGACAAATAAGAAACAGGCTTCCTGTTACCAGAGAAAAATGAAAGCAAGCTCTTGATCCACGCTGTAGTTTGGAGATCTGTTCGCCCTGATAAGACATCCCTCTTTCACTCCTTGAATTTTGAGAAACAGTCTTCTGACTCAAGAGTTTGTGTTGACATACAAAGAGGAAACCCAAGCTCTTTTGCAAGTTATGTGTATAACTGTAGCAGGGATGATAAGCACTAGCTGCTTTGGCTGTCAGCCCCTTCTAACAAACTGCTCCATAATTGCCCAGAAAAGTTGGGAACCACCAAAGTCGAAGGAGACAGCCCAACTTGTTATGGTGAATTGTTGCCTTTAATCCTAATCGCTTGGTGGAAGTTGGATTTGCATTCTGCCTTTATTCTTGCTTTGTCTAAAACTGACAGATTATTTTTTCTCCAAAATAATAAAAGGGCAAAAGTCTATCTTCTGATGTGGAAACCTTCTGCCTCTGACCTGGAATCCTGCATATGTACTTTTTACAGATTAAAAATAATATTGTATATAAAAAAAGATTGAATAAAGAATGTCTTTAAGTGAAGAGCGTGCGTTTTGCGTCCTTTGCCTCCAATCGCAACCTCCCGTAGCGTTGGACTGTGAAGCTGATCCTGTTTCATAGGCTTGGTTGTCCTGCAGCTTTTCTTGCCCCTGCAGCTCTACTAGGGACTTTGTCAACTTAAACATGTATCTCAAGACACCCTATTGCAAAATTAAACCCCTGTACCCCTTGCTTGCTTTTAACAGGTCACTGTAGTGCTCAAATTTTTCTCAAGACGTAGCTAAACAATACAACAGTTTGAGGCCATTTCTGTGTGCCATTGTGAAAGCCACCAAATCTCACAAAATGCTGAGCTTTCTACCCTTTTGTTAAATTTGTGTGTAAGTGGCTGAAAAGTTCAAAGGTTCTTTGTGATGAGGGTAAAGTGCAGGCAGACAAGCAGTGCTACTAAGTAAACTTAGTTTTCTGAAGACACCAGGTTAAAACCCCAGCTTTTCTTGATACTAAATAGCCAGTGAATTGGGCAATGAAGTCTATCCCTGCATTCCTCTGCCCTTTGTGAAAAGGTAAAACTTTGTAATTGTTTAAATGTCATTCACAGGGAAATTGGGATGAGGAAATTGCTTCAAGTGAGCCTGGTTTCCCCCTGCACCTTTAAATTCACTGGAACTGCTGCTATAGCTCTGTTTTGCAGTACGGCAAGTGAATAACCAGATTTACTTTCCGATTAACAGTACCTGTAGATAATCCTAGCTGCCTGACATCACCCATATTGCTCAATACACAGAACCTTGTTTTCAGGGTGTGCTGTAACTGCCATCCTATGTGTCCTGTTTCAGTGTTTTATATCCAATGCCCAACCTTCCCAGGGTGCTTCTGCCTCAGGATGCAATGACCTCCTTCAGTATTACTCCGTAAGAGAAAATTGCTTCCAAAGTGCCATAATTCAGTGCAACACATGACACCAGGTACACACCTGCTGTCCTAGTATGCCATCCATCTTGAGTTCCAGTTATGCATTCAGCTGTTGCTCCCTGGCTTTCCGCACAAGTGCTGCATGTTTGTGATAACACCCAGCCTCCTACTGCAGTGCCACTCTCTACCAGAGGAGTTTCTTTTGCATCCATTGATCTTCCTTCACCCCTCTGCTTCTACCTCTTCTAAAACAGTTTCTTTGCACGTCCTCTATCTGAGGATATATAGCGAATATCCTCTTTTATTTCTTCTTTGGCACTCTGCCTGCTTGTCACCCTCCCCCCACTTCCCTTGTAGACTCTGTGATTGTGTGTGCTCCTTCCTGGAGACCATGTGCCTTTCCTATGCATATTAATTAGCTGTATTTTAAAATCCTGAAATTAATCCTTAATGGGTTATTTTTAGCCTTCATCTTGTAGCTCTGGGAGTTGGCTTCTCTCAGTGCAGAGCCACAGGCATTCTGTGGGCTTTGGAAAGGAAACGTTATCTTTGTGCTGGTTCACACGTGGGATGTGTGAAGGTGGTTGGTGGTGTGCTTTTTGTTTTTTTCTAATGTGAAGAGCAAGAGGTTTTGACAACAATATTTCAGGCTGAGCAAACTCCTGTGTGAAAACGTTTGAGAAGAGCATCGCTTATATAGCCAAATTACTTGGTAAAAATTCAGGGAAAGATTTGGGGAGGAAGAAAAAAGCACTGTGTGTCCATGTGTACCAACAGTTTCACGGTTTTCTTTCCTGTATGGTTTCCATTGTACAAGTAGTTACAAGCAACAGGTACGATGTCTGTCTGTCACTGTATGAACCAGAAAGGATGAGCTGCTGCATGACTGAGAAAATAGCATCATGTGTTGATATGGGATCACATAGAAGTCCCATGTGAACGATACAGCCATAAAAAGGAAGAATGTCCCTAAGTTATTTCTTCCCCACACTGGTGCTGCATCTGCCTGCATACCCATCTCTTCACCAAACTTCAGGAAGGAATCAGTGGAGGAAGCCCCAAAGAATGCAAGTGGATGTCTGCTACATCACCTGCAACAGAGGCCTGTGCATGGGTTCCAGGAGGTGAGATGCAGGAAGATTTCTCATGTGGACAGACAGACCCATCCATGACAGGTGTGTGGATTGTGCCCAGCTTTCCAGGAAATCCTTCTACAGAGCTTCTGGCTTAACTTGAACCATCTGTGATGCCACAGAATGTATTTTGACGTTACTGAAGATGCAGAATTACTTGGCATACCAAAGATACAATTTTTCAGGGTGTTCTGATCTGGGAAGGCCTGGGCCGGGGAGATTCATTGTTATATCCAGAGTGAGATTAAGACACAAATGAGATCAAATGCCGCTAATCGAAGGCCTTTACTTATCACTTATCTGAACAAAGTACTTGTGAGAAAGTAGCAATAGGAAAGGGAGGGAAAAATAGAAAAGAAGGAAACCTAGCAAGCAGTCGGGATAGAGTTGCAAAAGATAGTCACCGTCATGGATCCAGCGGCGTCCGTCAGTCCATAGCCTTCCTGTAGTACGGTGGTGAGGTCCCATTTGATATTTGGCTGCACCATCTTTTATAGGGTATTTGGGGGGGAGGTGGGGGTTGTTTCCTAGGCAATGGCATGTACTCCCTTCCTGCACATATGCTCAGTTTTGGTGTGCTTGGTCCTGCGAAGTACATCTGGTCACTGCATGATCCATCACCATGGACTGCGCATGCTCCAACAGACTGAGGGGGGTCACTGTGTCCAGATGTACACACACCCCCCTCCCCCAGTGCACACGACTGTTCCTTGACTCCTGCTGTCAGGGCAGCTGGGCTCAGCCAGGCTGCCTGGAAGCCTTGCAGGGGCGCTCACAGGAGCTGTAAACACGCTTGAGACGCCAGCTCAAGGTAAGGTCCCTTACACAGGGAAACCAGATCCTGCTTTTTATGAGATGATATCTCATTCTCCAGATGAAGGACGCATGGTACATCTCATGTAACTGAACTTCAGTACTGTACGCAATACCGCATCTTGACTAATTTGTCTTGAAAATACGAACACAAGAGCTGCACAGTGGGTAAGGAACTGGACAAAGGAGAAGCAAGCAGAAAATGGGGAAGGAAAATTCTAGGTGTTTTAGTGATTGTCACTAAATCCTGGTACTAGGACAAATCTTCTATAATGGCAAGAAGAATTTATTTGCAGCAGAAGAAAGTTAGGAAGAATTGTCAATATAGAGAATGAAGGAGCAGATAATCTTCAGGCCTGGAACAGCAGAAGACAAAAGAAATTAATAAAGTCAAAAGACAAACTTGTTCCTCCAGGGACTGGGAATAAAACCTTTCACTATAATATGAGATGTTGTCAGTCTGAAATCACTAATGTTGAGAAAGCCCTGAACATATAGTCAGCCATAATCACACAGATCACCAATGCAAGGTGAAAAACAAGGCAGTGAAAAAAAAAAGAATGGCTGTGCTGGGTCAAAACTAAAGTCTGTCTAACCTAGCATCTTGGCTCAATGCTGACCAAGAGCAGATTCCCACAGAAAGTAGAAAAATAAGTATGTATTAATACTTCACAAATGTACCCTGAAATGATCTGCAGCTTCCTGAGCCAAAGGTGGTATCTTTTGTATTTCATAGCCCTTGACATATGGGGGGGGGGGATGTTCTTAGGAATTAGTCCAGTCACTTACTGAATCAATGGAAAGTGTTGGTGTGCAGAACAAGCTCTGCCGAAGAGCTTCATGGCGTTAGCAAAGCATGCATGC